ATAATAAATTTTTATAAATTCAGCTTACTAATGGACACCCTGAAAGTATTGATTTAGTATGTTTTGGAAATGCTTCCCTAACATTGGCATCAGCTTGTCGATCAGCTATCAATGTTTGGTATTGTGATAGTGTCCCAGGTCTTCAATATGTATATATTACTTTTGAAAATTTTTAATAATTAGTGATACATAATTTTTTTATTGTATTTTTAATATTTATGTGTTCAAATGTTTTTATTTTCTGTGTTTTAGATTTCAAAAAATTAGCTCCCCAGAATTTGATAAAAGAGTTAGGAAGAGTTAACTTTATGTCATTTTCTCCAGATGATCTTATGCTTTCAATATGTACCAATACTGATATATGGGTTATTGAAATAAAGGTTCTGTAATATTATTAATTATATATGCATTGTGTGTATATATATATATATATATATATATATATATATATATATATATATATATATATATATATATATATATATATATATATATATATATATATATATATATATATATATATATTTATATATAGGCCTCGGCAGTAGTAAATTAATGCGAGAGCAGAGAAATGCTCTCCTAAAACAAACATGGCAAGCTATGTGAGTTGCTCCTCTGAACAGTTTCTTCTGAGAGCTTTTGGTTTTTCCATGAGCTATCTGTTTATTCATTAAAAAAGTTGTTAAATACAAAATTTGGTTTCAAACTTGATACAAATTTACAATTTGTTAATGTTACAAGAATATATACATAACAAGCGTCATTTATTGTGTCATGAAAATTTTGTTTAAACAAGCAATGTTTTTAGACAAGCTATACATTTATTTATCAAAATTTGACAAAGCTCTATAAAAGTTTTTACTGCTTATAAAAAATGTTTAATATTTTCTTATTGCAATAGAACAGAGGCCTTCTTAAACAGGCTGCAACAGCTCATTTTCCATAAAAATAGCGAAGGCCGACTTTTTTACAAGGAAATATAGTTTCAATGAGGATTTTAGTTGTTTGATTTAAACTGTTATAGTTAAACTTGTAAAATGTTTAATAAGTGCTGTGTTTATGGTTGCTACTCAGATTAGAAATTAAAAATAAATGATGTTTATGCCGCAATGTAATAAAAAATAAATGATGTTTATGCCGCAATGTAATAAAAAATAAATGATGTTTATGCCGCAATGGATTTTGCTTTAAATCTGAGAACCTGGACTGGACTTAAAAACTTCCAAATGTTCACAAATTATAAGCGAATTTATGTTAAACATTGGCCTAAAGATGCAGAATTAAAAAAAGTCAAAGGTGGTAGTTTTGTTTTAATTCCTCCACCATCAATCTTTAAAATTATTGGTATTCCAATAGGTTCTAGAAAACATGATGTAACTGGGTTAATGTGCTCTGAAAGAAATAGTTTACCTGATGAGTTAGAAAAAATTGGACGTTATTCAATGTTTTTCAATTGTAAAAAATTTAAAATCAATGATAATTAACCGTGAAGAAAAATTTAATTTTGTTGAAAAAAAATATATATATATATCTTTAATAACATATAAACATTGTAGACCAGTACCTAAGTTTATATATATATATATATATATATATATATATATATATATATATATATATATATATATATATATATATATATATATATATATATATATATATATATATATATATATATATATATGTTATTATTATTTCCTTTATAAATAAATATAATATTTAGGTATTTATAAGAATTTACAAAAACCTTCTAAAAGATTTTGTTATTCAAGTTGATTTTGGGTGCAGAAGTTGCTGCTTATGAGAATTACTGAAATTTCACAATATAGTTCTAACTAAAAACAATGATCGAAGAGGGTGATCATTAGATTTATTTATAATATATTATTTGATTTAATATAAATTATTAAAAAAATTAAAGTAAAAAAAAAAACAGGTTTTTTCTGTGGTTTTATAGCAAACTTCTTTAAATAGTTAACATAACTTCTTTTTAATAGTTCACATAACTTCTTTTTAATAGTTCACATAACTCCTTTTTAATAGTTTAAACTTTATTAAAGTTTATAGGGCTGAGTAACCGCTTTGATCTTGCTAATACCGTAGCTAGTTTTTTTCTTAGGGCAATGTAAGCATGATCTTTGTCCCTCATTAGAATTTTAATTTAAGGAGTTATCTAAAAAGGGTCATTGTTTTCATTTTAACAGATTGCAGAGTGTAACATCTATTAATCATTCTATATAAATACTTAATAAAATAAGTAATCATGTAATTAATCATGGTTTTGAAAGAATATTGAACAATTTGCACTTAGTAAATTTAAGAAAAATAGCATAAGCCTTTGCGCAGAATTTTTTTACAGAAATCTTTCACAATTTAGAGGCAACAATTTAATAGAATTTAGCAAAATCGTACATTAATCAGAGCAGTCCTGTTATACAATTTGGGTACATTAGTGACCATGATATCGAGATTGTTACATGCATGTGTGGAAAATGGTACAAGTTGACTAAGCGAGTTAGAAATAAGAAAATCATTATAATACTTTTCGGAAATCATTAATGTAGTATAAAAGTCTCAAGATTATAACAGTTTTTAAAGTTTTTCAAATTTTAGTCAAACAAATTTTTAAGTAGGAGGCTACTTATTTTGTGGCTATAACCCTCTCTCAACTCTATAACTCCGAAACACGAACTTTGACGAAAATGTTACATATGTTTATATATAGTTATATATATATGTATATATATATATGAATACATATATATATATATATATATATATATATATGTATATATATATATATATATATATATATATATATATATATATATATATATATACATATATATATATATATATATATATATATATATATATATATATATATATATATATATATATATATATATATATATGTATATATATATATATATATATATATATATATATATATATATATATATATACTCTTATATTCAGGCTATTTGTCAGTCGATGTATGTACTAAAGCCCCCAGCAGCAGGCTATTTCAGTATGAGGTTAGATTGCTTACCTTAGTACGCAATACTATTTGTATACATATATATTCTCAGTCAATGTATGCACATATAGATCCACATTTGCTTACTCATTTTGCTTATTTGTATAGCATACAACTTTTTCAAACGAAGAAAAAACAATAAATAATGAAAAAAAAAATTGCTGCCCTATCCCAAACTTTTTAGTTGATCTAGCGGCACTTCTCTACGACAGCAGGCTATAAGATAGTCAATGTATGTACTGAAGCCCCCTGACAGCAGGTTATTTTAGTATGACATCAGACATTATCTAAACATGTATTTATACTTTTTTTCTAACACTATAACTTTCTCTAACACTATATCTTTTGTTTTCAATTTTTTTTTTTTTCTTTTAGTTTCCAAAACATGTGACGACCTTTGCTCACAATAGTATAGTGGAGGCAGCTGATTTTTGTAAACAAGATTCAAATTTGTTAATAACAATCTCTAAAGATGGAACATATGCGGTCAGTTTTAAACGGTTTGAAGCTATTTTAAATTTAATAACATTAAACAATATACATCAAGATAATTTTTTTTTTTTATTAACATCTTTGCTTCCAACAAGGCTGCAAGCAACCACTATTAGAGTTGGAAGTTACTGGAAGAGAAAAGATGAAAATTGTAGAGCAAGATAACGATTGACAGATGACTTAAAAGATTGCAAATTATATGAATCAGGAAAGCAAGATGAAGAAAGCGAATTCTAATGAACTGATGGAAAAAAAGGAACGAGGAAAAAAACTAGACGAATAAGAGTTTTTAGAGCATTTAGTAACAGTCACAGAAAAAGGATGAGATTTAATTGAATGAAAAGTAACATGATAATGAGTTTTAGTAGATGCCACAAGAGACGCTAGCTCTTTAGAGCAGTGCCCATTATAGTATTTGTAGAAAAAAGAAAGAGAAGCAACATTACGGCCATGTGATAATGGTTGGAGGTTGGCTGCAAGAACAGGTCCAACTATGTTTACAATGCGTTTTTGCACCTTGTCTAAAAGAGTAAGGACATCATTGAAAAATCTGCCCCAGATATGGCAACATTATTCCATACAAGGCTGGATGTGAGATTTATAGAGATAGAGAATAGAATCCTGAGTAAGAAAGCATCAAGCTCGATAAAGAAATGCAACATTAGCAGATGCTAATTTTGCAACGGATTTGATATATAGTTATATAGTTTGATATCAAGAAAGATCGAAAGTAAGAGTTAATCCTAGAAGATAAATGGTAGATGTCTGCTACGGAGAACACTTCTGCAAGGCTATAACAGGTATGTTGTCCTTACCACAGGCTGTAGAAGAGTCTAAGCAGGAAATCACTTTAGATACAGAAGCTGGAGTGATACGAAATTCAAGCAATGGATCAACCTGTTTGGCGGCTAAATCAGGTAGAACGCAACTAGTGGAATCAAGAGATGATATTGATGAAAAGGTCTTAGCAAACAAATTAGCTTTGTCTTTAGGTGAGGTGACTAAGTCTGAATTATACAAGAGAGATTGAATAACAGATTTGCTCTTATTTTTGATACTATTAAAAATTCTCCAGAAGTCATGAGAGCCTAAATTTTGTGATGAAATACAAAATTTCATGATCTGAAAATAGTGGACTTTGGCGTTAGACAAAACCTTTTTTACAATGGTTTCTTGCAGTAATAAACAGACATCTGTTTTCTAGAGAATTGTTTTGCTGATAGATATGGAAGTAACGGTTTCGATTGGCAATTGCAGCAGCACAATGTGAGGAAAATCATGGAGAAGAGTGAGGCTTGACCTGGAATCGTCAAGAGGGAATGAAAGATTTCATGCCAGCAAAAGTTATGTTAGAAACACATTTGTCAGCAATAAGAAGAAAAATTTCTACCCAAGGGCCATCACAGAGAAAATCACGGAAAGAGTCTTAGTCAGCTTTAAGGTAATTGTAGAGAGATCAAACTGTTATCAGAAGCACCTAAGGGTGAATGTGGAGAGACTGAGCACTGACTAGGACCAGAAACAAGTCATAAGTTAAGTAGAGAAGGTATATGATTTGGAATGTCTGGAAAGCAATTTGGAAAGTTGACTATTTGAATTAGGGATTGAGAAAGGCAAAAGTTTTGGGCTTTTATGCCTGCAGAGTCACTGATATTTGAGCCAAGCCATTTAGTGTGATGAGCATTAAAGTTACCTACAACAACAATATTAGCTGATGGATAAAGAGAGAGGGCTTAGTCAATTTGATCAGAAATAACATCATAAAGAGTACAGTCTTGAGATGAAGGAGAGCGACATAGAACAAAGAGAAAGGCGATAGAGTGAAGTGGTGCTAAACAAAAGCGCATAAAAGAATAGTCGGTGGATTCAAACCTAGTTTCCTGACAAATTGGTAAATTCTTACAAATGTAAATCCCCAGGCCAAGCATGTGACTATTGAAGTCTTTATGAATTAAAGGAAGATAACCATGGACACTAAGATCACAAGATGAGAAAGCTGAACTCAAATTAGTCTTGCAAAAAGCCAGTAGGTCTGATGAATTTTTCAAGATATAAGACTCAACAGAAGAAAAGTTACTTCAAAGACCACAAATATTAGTGAATGGTAGGTTCAGAGAACTTGGTGATGACAATGATTTTTTGTGTTTCACAGTTTTTGATACTTTATTCATTTTTAAGTTTGTTAAAGAACTTGACTCAAAGCATAGACAGTACTCAGTACTCTGTTTAATAGCCCAAGTAATTGCCTCATTACTAATAATAAACCCTAAGCCGTAACATAGGGCTCTAAATGAGGCCTTGACAATGCACACCAAAATAACAAGCAGGAACACCATCCATGCGCAACATGGCACTGTTAATACTTTGTTTTTTTTCAGCTGTTGGTGGAATAAGCCTTTCTGAGAGCGACCACAGACTTCAGGCAACCTGACTACCAGTCGGCCTCAGCACCATAAAACTGAGTTTTAGAGCTGTACCCTCATTAGGAAATAATAGAATGAGTTGCGTTGTCATAAAAACAGAGACCCAAGTAAAACCCATGCATTAAGTCAAAAGATTCAACATTGAACATCCTAAACCTGAAACAATGTACTAAAAATACATCTGTGCCAGCTTAATAGATGAAGAAGGGTTGCGAGGCTGGTCAACAGATAGAATTTGTTTATCCTTCAAGCCTTTGCCTAGGAGGTCTTCTACAAGACAGTATCTGGATACGTTTAACATCTGTCCAAGATGAGTATTTTAATCAAGACACTGTTTCTAGCTCAACCAAAAGCCCCAAAACTGGGGTGTTTTAAGTCGGAGTTGGCTTCTCCTAGCATTTTCCTAAAAAAGTAGAAGGCTGCAGGACATGAAGCAAATTGTACTGAGTTACATGTTACCAGTAGCAGGATAACCTGACCTGACAATGTTATTTATTTAAATTACCTGACCTGACAATATTGCTTATTTAAAATATGAGTTTTTTTTTTTTTTTTTGTTGGTTTTTTTAACTTTGAGTTAGTTTTATATGAATCTAATTTTTAGATCATTTATTTAGTACAGTGTTATTGTCTGGTGGTGATATTTTTATGCATATTTATGTATATTATTCAATAATATTTTGTAATGTGCATTTTCTAAATCAAATTATTTCTTGTGTAAAGTTTTCCAAATCTTTAGCTTTTTTTCATATACAATTTTTTTTTCATAAACAATTTTTTTCATAAACAATTTTTCATAAACAATTTTTTTTCTTAAACAATTTAACTTGAATAGAAAAAGGAGAAGCGATTGCATTTGGAATTGGTTTTAAAATCATAGCAGTATCTATTATATAAAAAAAGAAGTTTTTAATGAGATGACACAACAGAACTGTGAGGAAACATACATTATTTTTAAAGATTTTTCAAGTGAAAAAATTATTCTCTAAAAGATATGCATTTTCTAAAAGATGTGTTTTACACAACATGAGTTACACCAAATGGTGTAGCTCGTGCATACATACATACATACATACATACATAAATACATACATACATACAAAAATACATACATACATGCATACATACAAACATACATACATACATACATACATACATACATACATACATACATACATACATACATACATACATACATACATACATACATACATACATACATACATACATACATTACTGTATCTGTCCCTTCATGCTCTAAAAATTCTTAATAATGTTCTCTCCCATCTTTATGTTTTCCCAACTCATAAAGCTTACAACTTTAAAGTTTTTTGTCAACCGTTTTCTAGTTCTTTAACACTATTCTTTGTTTTTTAGTAACTCCCAACTTAATAGTGGTTGCTTTCAACATTGTTGGGTGTAAATTAAAAAAAAAAAAGTTAGTGTTAATTCTAGCAATAGATTACATTAAAACATTTTTATTTAAAATAATTGTAATAAAATTTATCTTCCAAAGTAGTTAAATGAGACAAGTAGTTGTTTGTTGTCAAAAACAATAATATTTATCTTATAAGTAGTGAGACAAATAGTTTAAGTTATATCTTTTAAAATTTAATGAGTAGTTCTCTTACTTCGAAAGCAATTTGTAAAAGCAATACATTCAACATAATTCCAACACTGCTAAGAGAAATTATACTATTTTATTGAAAAAACAAAACTTGCATGTATGATATACAAATACTGTGTAGCACGCAGTTTAATAATATATTTTTATTTATAATCTTTTATAAGTAGATTATAAATAAAAATATTTATAAATACTTATCTTCTTATAGAAGATTATAAATAAAATAATATATTTTTATTTATGTTTCTATTTCAGATATGGAATTTATTGGAAAAGTGTCAAGTTATCCAGTCATCAGTTATTTGTGGTATTGATTATATAAAATATTTGGTTACTAAGTAAAATAAAAAAATTGATTAATAATTGAAATAAAAAAATTGATTGCTAGTTGATAGAGTAAAATTAGGTCAAATAGAGTAGTTAAGAATTTTAAGTATTTATTTTTTACGGAAAAAAGATTTAAATTTTTTTTTTTAAAGTTTTAGAGAATATTGAACATATTGAAAGTATTTTTTTTTATGAAACTTTATTTGATTAAAAAAAAACTTATTCCATTCTACACTGACATTTAGGGTGAATGAAATGCAAAAATATATTTGTAATTAAAACAACACTTTATTTAAAAAAAAAAAGCAATCAATAATAACAATTAAAAAATCTATCAATAATAACTATTAAAAAATCAATCAAATCAAATAAACTTTTTTATTCTTGTGATGATGTTGAGTCGTTTAGAGGTACTAGAGGTTAAGTTGAGTTTTCAACTCAACCTCTACTACCTCTAAATACAATATTGAAGGTTGTGTGCAGCACTTTTTGACAAAGCTAAACCTTGCAATTTGAATTTTCACACTGGTACCATTCCATATTTTGATTTGCTGAAGCTTTGCCTAAAACGTTTTTACACTTTTTACACTTAATTTGGTTTGCAGCTATTATTTTTGTTGGACTTGTTGCTTATTATTTGTTGTTTTATTCGCTGTTTGCCATTAAAACTAAGCTTACGTTGTTTTTTATCTTACTTTGCTGCTTTTTTGCTCTCAGCATCTTTCAACCTTTCAAGTATTTTAGGTTTGTTGAGATACTTTCCTTTCGAATCTTGGCACATAAATAGATTTTTTCTTTTTTTTGTGTCAACGTGTTGGATACGAAACATTTGTTGCAAAGCTGCTGCAAGTGATTAGGCTGATTGCAGTTGTTTTTCAATCACTTTTTGAATTTCTTTTTGAATAGCCGGAGTTACTACAATATTGAAGGTTGTTTGCAGACAGGGTGACTTTTTAGGTGACTTTGGAGCTGGTGCTATGTGATATATGCGCTGATGCTAGATGTTAGTGTAGATTCAGAGGGGAGTGGCTGAAGTAGTGTAGTTCCTGGTACCAGTATTGGTGTTGGTACTATCATAGATTCTGGTTTTTGAGATGATGAAGCCTCAGGTTCAGATGATGGTGTTTCAAATGTATTTGAAACTTCATCATCTGAACCTTAGCCTTCGCAACTCTGACTGATCGATTTTATTAATGTCGAATGGAAACAAGCCAGTATTCTGAAACCCAGTGACTATTTGGGTATATGTAAAAACTTCACCAGAGCTGAAAATTTTTTTTGCAAGTGACTAAAACATTATTTTGATGAGTTGCTTTGTCTCTGCATAAAACTGTTGAAGTAATTTGTGCCTAACTCTTTTGAAAATAAACACTGACATCTAGCGGCTGCAGAGTATGTCATGAGTGAGCTGGTAAGAAAACTAATAAGATATTGTTTTCGATGAAAATAAGTACGACTCTATAAGTGACATATGTAACTAACGACTAAAATACCTAAAATTAGATAGTTATAACTAGATTAATGCAATCTTTTGTAAATGTAAATTAGATAAATAGATAAATAATTAGATAAACTAACTACCTGAAATTTTTTTAATGGCAGAACATACACGTTAGTGAGCCACTGCACAAATTGCTTATCTTCCATCCATCTATAAGGAGATATAGTGTATATGGCATCATCTGGACCACTTAAACACTAATCTCTGTACAGACGTTTTTTTGATTAAAAACTGGACATACATGTAAAGAGTTACTACTGGTATGCTGAATGATTTAGCAGTTTTGTTAAGTGAAAATTCACCGCTTTGTACTTTAACCACCACAAGCGCAACTTGCTCTTCGGTGTATAGTTTTTCTTTTTTCTTTGCGTACAAGTTGTTTCAAGGCATATTTTATATTAAATTAGATTTAACCCCTTTCCGCATAGAGTATCATATATGGTACAATTTATAATAAAGGATAGCATGGCTACGCGAACTATGATTTCGGCAATATATTTTACTGGGATTTTTCATTAATAATTTATTTTCATGAATAAACATAGAAATTATCTTGTTACATTGACAATATTTTATTTCTAAATTATTAAAATGACGACCAGATTCAATAAACACTGTTCTGATAAGTTCTTCCCCTATCACCTATAATATGTTCATAGAATTTTTTTTTTTTTTTTTGGGCAGCCTAATGTTCATAGAATCTAGAAAACTAAGATTATAAAGATTAGATGTAAATATCCATGTCTCTCTATTTATTAAAAAAAGTTAGATTAGAGTTTTCTCAAACTTGTATGTAATTTTGTTATATATAATTGTATCAGATATGATACAGCATGCATTAAAAGTTTGTTTACATAAACATAATTTTATTTATTATTTTTGAAGTAATCTTTTTGTTTTGAGTTCTGTGAAACTTATTAAATAAAATTAAGTTATAAATTAAGTAATATTAAGTTATTTATATTCTAATAATATGGTATTAACCTTGATACAATATTATTGATCAAAGTAATAGTTTCTTTTTCATTTTTAGCAATAACTACTGATTCATTTTATGGAAAATCTTCTGCTTGCCAGGTAAGGTCAACAAACTATGTTCCAATATCTCTAGATAGTAGTTCTGATGAATGGCTATCATCTGATGACGACTCATAAGTGACAGATTTTAATATTCAAAAGAGAACAAATATGAACCAAGCAGTAAATCTGAAAAAGAGAGAGGCAGGGAATCTGAACACTGAATCAGTTATGCCTACTAATTCTTTATTGACAAAAAATGAAAGTATTCAAAAAAAAAACATCCAATATGGAAACAAGAAAATATGCTTAAAGACAATGTTGAAGTTATAAAAAATAACAACTTTGTATTTGCAGAATCTGGGATCAAAACTTTTTTTCTTTTTTCACCTTTTCCTAGAAAAGCTTCTGGCTGGTATAAGCTTTCTATACTTAATTGTATTCAGTCCAAAAAAGACCTGAAAAACCATTAAAATGTACTGTCAGTGATATAAAGAAAATTATTGCTTCTATTTTATACATGTCCGTTAGGAAACTTTCTGCAACGAGAAATTATTGGTCATCTTCCCTCGCAGTAAGCACTGTTGCAGAAATAATGAGTCTTAACTCATTTGAAGAAATAAAACACTTTTTACATTTTTCTGACAATAATGAGGCAACTAGTGAGGACAAATTACACAAAGTAAGACCTTTGATTATGAAACTTGTTGAGCGTCTTAAAAATTTTGCCATTGAAGAAAATTAGCAGTTGATGAACAAATTATTCCATTTAAAGGATGCAGTTCTCTAAAACAGTATAATCCAAAGAAGCTGCATAAATGGAAATACAAAGTATATGTTCTTAGTGGTGTTTCAGGATTCATTTATAATTTTGAATTATTTACTGGAAATTGTGACAATGTTTTATCACTTCATTGACATGGCTATTTTAATACATGAATACTTTGAAATAAAGAAAATTGCAAAGTTCCTTTAGTAAAATTTAAGCTTATTGCAGCTGATTTGCTTTTATCTGATGGAAAAGATTCTTTACGAAAGCATGATCATCCTTCCGAACAATATTCTAGTGTTCCAGCAAAAAGAAGACCCAAACATTATATGCCTCATATTTGTTTACGAACTGATGCTGTTGGGCATTGGCCAATTGTAGGTAGTATTCATTCTCGCTGTAAACTTCATAGCTGCTCAGCGTTAACATATATAATTTGTGAAAAATGTAGTTAATTGCTCTCATGCATAATGTTTTGTTTATATTGTTATTTTGTTGAAACAAAACTTACCTGCTGAGTTTTATTTTATAATAATATGATGTTGTACTATTTATGCATGCTGTATCATGATACAATTTTAAAAATCATGAAAATCCATAATTAGGAGTAAGTTTTTTTTTCCACATCAGCTAATTTTGTTTTTGCCCCATAAAATGTAAATAAAAAAAATTTGTTTTGCTCAAAAAAAAAACATGCATAAAAGGGGTTAAAAGATTCTTGATCAGCGTAAAAAGTTATGCCAGAAAACTTTTTAAGTTCAATCATATCAAATTTAACTTCCGAGAGTTTTAGTTTCATTTTTCAGAATAATATAAAAAATCTTATTACACACAAGAAAACTTAAAAAAAATTTTTCATCAAAAATAAAATTTGATATCATCTTACTAAAAGATTATCCAAAAATTAATAAAATAGCGGTTAAAATATCATAACTAATTCATTATATCCGCTATTTTATTTTACCCTGTTTTACTCTATGCAAAAGATACAAATTTTAAACGCAGTTGATGGATTTTTTTTTTGGTTAAATTTTGATATTAAAATAAATAAACAATCAAGTAAGGCAAATAAATGTAATTATCTTTTTGTTTAAAAAACAAAAGTTACATTGAAAGTTATATTATATATTATTATTATTATTATTATTATTATTATTATGGTATTATCATTGTATCTTCTGGTTATCATGATTATTTTTAATCTAGCAATGTACTGGTTTTTATTTATTATTTTTATAGTATCTGTCTATATAAAGAATACTATCGTTTTCTGAACAACTATCTTGCATTTTCATAGTTTCATCTTATTGCATCTTACAATAAAAGTGTTTACATATAATTCTTAAATTTGAATGTGTAACATATAATTCTTAAATTTGAATGTGTTACATATAATTCTTAAATTTGAATCTGTTACATATAATTCTTAAATTTGAATGTGTTACATATAATTCTTAAATTTGAATGTGCTACATATAATTCTTAAATTTGAATGTGTTATGCAATTCTGTTATATGAGTTATAAATCATTTTAAGAATCAATTAATAGTAAGTTTTTTATTGTGTTATTCTTTTTAAATCTTTAGTAACTGGGCTGATCTCATTAGCTATGCATCCATTTGAGCAGTTTTTTTCTGTTGGTTCAGTTGATGGAATAGTAAGCATTTATTAAGATCTACCAAACAGTTCAGAGGAGTAATAACAGCGAGGTTAGTTAATGAGATGGGAATGCTAAATTCAAAAACAAAAATTCTCATGTGCAACTCTGAATGGTATGGTGGGTCATTTTATATATATATATATATATATATATATATATATATATATATATATATATATATATATATATATATATATATATATATATATATATATATGTATATATATGTATATAACTTGTTTGGTTGTTTTTAATTTTTTCAATAGAATGTCAAGGTTATTGGAAAAGTTTAAAAAAATGTTTTTTTTTTAACTTGATTGAAAAACCGGAAAAAGTTTGCAAACTTTAAAAAAAAAAAATTTTTTTTAATACTTGATAGACTGCTTGTCCGAACCAAACCCTCGGTCAATCAAGCAATACTTCCTTGTAGCAGCCTATAAGATCATCAATTTAGCCGCTCTCACTTTTAGCAGCAGGCTATAAGATAGTCAATGTAATAACACTCTGCTCATGTTTTAAAGTATAAAAAATAAAATAAATAGTTTATTATGTTATAGTATATTTTTAAAAACATACAGAATGTTTTTAAAAACATTCTAGTCTTTTAATCTGCTTTTTAATTATATATATATATATATATATATATATATATATATATATATATATATATATATATATATATATATATATATATATATATATATATATATATATAAAATGTAATCAAAATAATAATAAAACTGTTATCATTCCTCAATTAAAACAATGCGTTTTGACATAATCTGTAATTAATTTTGTCTTGCTAGATGTCATAGAGTAGTTAAGTGCCGTTTTTGCCACAAATGGTAAGATCTTCTCTCTCTCTTTAAGATCTTCTCCCTCTCTCTCTTTCTCTCTCTCTCTCTCTCTCTCTCTCTCTCTCTATATATATATATATATATATATATATATATATATATATATATATATATATATATATATATATATATATATATATATATATATATATATATATATATATAATTTAGAAAAAACACATCTAATTTTTGTGCTCTTCAACGGCATGTTTCACCGTCAATAGATTCATCAGGAGCTTCCTGATGAACCTACTGATTGTGAAACATGCTGATGAAGAGCACAAAAATTAGATAAGTGTTTTTACTAAATTATTATTGCTCTGTTCTTTAAGAAAATTGAGCACTCTATTTGTAGAATAGACTAATATAATTTATATATATATATATATATATATATATATATATATATATATATATATATATATATATATATATATATATATATATATATATATGAAGAAATTTAGGTGATAAACACATTTAATATTGATTAATAAGATATCAAATATATATAATATAAAGTTGCAGTGTCATAATAATTTTCTTATACTATAGAATTCTATATCTATTTTGTAATTTTACTCAAATTACAACTTTTTGACCTTCTGTCAAATGCTTTTATGCTTTGAAAAAGCAAAATAACAGGTCATGTTACATATTCTGGATTGTTCCCTTTTGTCCTCGATTTCAAGCCAGTGACAGAATCCATCATATATTATATCACAAATTGGTTTAAGGTTAGATGGTTTTTTCCCAAGTATTTGACAGGTAAGCGACTTTATTTTGAATGACTAACTTTTGTTTTTTTGATCTTTGTCTTTGATTTTTTTTGGCATATATTGATGTATCCCTCAAAACTTTAATTTGGTAGGTACCAATTGCTCATTTGCAATTGGTCTCATTCTTGTTAAACTTAAACATCTTCATGTTAAGCAAACATAGGTGTTTGCCTAATATATAGATGTTTAAATTTAGGATGCTGTTGGTAATAATTAAATCAAAGTTGAATATTTGGTTTTAGAAAAATAAAATTGTATATTTGTTTTTAAAACATGAGATCTATTATTTAAATTAGGACATACCCTGATTCTTCAGGTAATAAAGTTTTTTTGAATGGTGAGGTACATTTACTTTTTTAGTCCTAAAGATAAAAAATTAGAATATGATATAACAATTTCAAAACAACTCAATTATAGTCAAATAAAGAAAAATTGGTGATTTTTTATACCTTACTATGTCGGATACCTGCAACAAATAAACTAGGTCTATTTAACAATACCTTTTGTAGGAGATTTAACAATGTCTTATGTTTGTTTTAGTTTAGAATAACACATATATAATGACACTTTAATTTTTATTTTAATGACATTATTTTATAATGACACTAATCTGAAAATTCAGTTTTTGAACATATCAGTTTTATGCATTTAAACATCAGTTTGGGCTTTTCTATATATAAAAAAAGAAGCATTACAGTGAGTAATTAAAACTTTCCAAAAACAATACTTCTTGTGTAAGCTCCCATTATACAAAAAAAAAACTTGTGCTTGAGTTGCTTCCAAATATTAAGGAAAGGTCTAAATTACATGTTTCAAAACATCTTATATTGTATAAAAGGTTTATAACCAAACTATTTATCAACAAATATACAACAAAAATAGAAAAAGGGTTAAAGAATAGAATACAATTGTAAATTTTAACATATAAATAACATATATACATAAGATAGTAAGTTTACATAGTAAAACTATATAAGTATATATTTATTTATGTATCTCTATGTTGAACTATGTTTTAACATAAGTTTTGCATAATATATCTTTATTTGTGATATAGTAAACAATCAATCAGTGTTATTTATCAATAAACCATATTTATTAATTTAATAATTTTTTATTATCAAAAAAAGATTTTCTCATTGAAAATTTCTGTTTTAAAGATGAATTTTAAAATGGGAAATTTAATTTATTCTTCCTGTTAGCTGACTGTTATGTTCCATAACTTAATTTTACATAAGCATAATTTTAAATTTCTAAATAAGTTCAAAATTAAGTATAAGTAGCTTTGATTTTATGTGCTGTTTTAAATATTATTCACTTAAATTAGCTCACAAAAATGCACTTTTTATATATTTTTTAGTTACTAACTTTTTGTAATTGTTTTTTTGCATAATTTATAATTTTATAATTATTTTTCATAATTTAATATTTTAGTTAGAATATAAAAACAGAATTGCTCATACCTCATTTTGAAAATAAGTTTTTCATATATATAAAAATATTAAAATATATACAATTCTCATTACTTTACTTTGCCAATTTTTAAGGTCTAATTTTAAAGCCCTAATTCCTTATTTATTTTATGACCATAACTAATGAAATTGGTAAACTATCTAGTCAATAAAAAGCAGGTTTTTAGGACTTTATTATGGATCTATTATTTGATGAGGGAAAATTTTTTTTTTAGTGCTAACAAAATATTAAAGTGTGCTAAGTACTACTTATGACAAAATAATGTCTAAATGTAGAAGTAATGTCTGAAGTAGCTTGTTTTATGATTGTTATTGTTTTTTTGTTTACCTAAAAATATAATTCAATATTTTTCTATTTTTGAAATTTATGCTTCTGGTGTATGGACTATGCCACGCCAAGTAATAATAATGGAAAATACTCAAATTAGTATGGTTGTAAAAATAAAAAGGTTATAAGAATTATTATTAGCTCTAATTGATATTATGAAAAATAGTTTATCAGTTTATTGGGCTCAAAAAAGCATACAAAATGCAAAGAGATGGCTAATTTAAAAAAAGCATTTGAAAGATAAAAAAAATGACAAACGATAAAACGAAGTCTAATGAAAAAGAATGCGGATTAAATTGTTTAGATTTTCAATTGCTGATAAGTTCCATAAAAATTTTCATCCAATCAAGACAAGAGTTAATTAAAGCAGTGATTAAAAATGATGTGATGATTCATAACCTAATTTAACTATGGCTTTCCTTGCAAATTAAAAATGTTTCAAGGCAAAACATAGTATTAAGAAATCATTGTTATGTGGAATAGCTTTTTAAGAAAATTTATGATTACTTTATAGAAAATTTTAAATACCAAAAAGAAGAAAAAATTTAGATGTTTTTGTTGTTAAAATAAGGAAACATTGTAATTGCCCTCCAAAGAATTAAATTATGAACTAAACAATGAAAAAATCTTTATCTGAAGCTGTATCTATATGATTTTTCATTTAATGTAATTATAAATAATTTCATTTATTCAATTATTTAAGAAAATTTCTTTTTTAAAAAAGTAATTATGTTTATTTAATTGTTTACCCTGTTACAAATATAATTAGATTATTAGACCAATATTTTTATGTTATTAAAACTTTTTATAATATTAATGTTTTGAGGAAAGATTTATTACATGTTAAAGTAGTATAAATAATAATATTTAAAATATTAACAAAAAAATATTTTTAAGAATAAAATTTAAAAAAAAAATAAAAAATAGGACTATAAAGAAAAAATAGAATAAAATAAAATATAATAAAATTTGTAACTCTTTACTTATAATCCTTTTTACTTTGAAAAAAGAAACTTCTTTAAACATCTTTAGTTGCATGTATTTGATGCTTCAAACTCAAAAGTCCTTCACAAGCTTGATTTTGAAGCACTGATGTCAAAAGGTTTTTTAATTATTTTCATAGTTTTTGTATTGGTTGTTTATATGATCCATACAAGTGTTGAAACACTGATTTAAAAAAAAATACTCATAGCAATTTTTTTTTTTAATTTTGTTTTCAAATATTCAAAAGTAATTAGATAAAAAATGAGGCAAAAAGTCATGAGTTTGTTACTTGTGTTATTCTTTTTAGAAAATAACTCTATGTCAAGAGGGGGATATTCCATTCTTTCTCTCAAGTATTTGTACAAACGAGCAACATTAAGCATTGAAAAAACTCATGTTCAGTAAGACATATCTTTTTTAAGTTAATATATATACTTAAGTTGATATTTATCCTGCATTATGAAAATAATTATATGCTAAATAAACCAGAGATTTATTTAACATATAACATGACTCTCTCTCATATAATATAGGTATACACTTATTTATTTATTCAAGAAAATTATACAATTTAGTATATATTTTTACAACAAATTCAGTTCCAAAAAGGCTACAATCAATATTATAATAGTTGGTAGTTAACAGAAAGCAAGAAAGTTAAATAACAAGAAAACAGCTGAAAAAAGACTTTAGAAACTGTAAACTGCATTAGTGAGGAAAACATGAAGGCAGAATTTCTAAAGAATTGTGTTTGGGTTTAAAAACTTGGTTAATAAAAATTTTTGAGCATGGTAAAACAGTTACAGTAAATAGATGCAACTTTGCTAAATGATGAGTCATGTAAGATTAAGTAAAGATAGAACAAGAGTTTTGGGTTTAGTTTTTAGAATTGAACATGAGATGTGATACATTGCTTGAGCAGTGACCATGATAGTTGTTGTAGAAAATAAAAAAAGTAAAACAACCATATGACAAATAGGACAAAAAGCTTTAGAGCTAGAGCAGGTCTACATTTACAATTGTTTTGGATTAATTCTAAAAGAGAATGAGTATAATTAAAAAAAAACAACTCAAATATGACAACAGTATTTCATATGAATAAGAAATTTATAGAACTATAAAATGGAATTAAGAGTAAGAAAGCAGTAGCACAATGCTGTCTTAGGAAAGAGATCATATTCAAGACCGGCTGCTTTTTCCAAGCAAATAAAATCTGGTAACTTTTTTGACCAAAGTATATGGTTGTCTCATCTAGCAAATAAAGTTTAGGGGTAAGATTATATATTAATATTATTAAGAAATTGAGTTTGTGAAATAATTCAGGATTAAGATTGGAAAAGATTATTAAGATTATTGGGAAGATCACTAATGATGAGAAATAAGATGGCAGGACTGAAGATGATCCAGCAGTCATCATTCAAGGTATGAAACATTGTTTAAATATATCCCAGCCTATTGATGAAAAAAGAGTGCAAGACTGGCAAATAATAAAATCTTCTTACCACTAAAAATTTTTCCCAGAAAGTTTTCTTCAAAGCAGTAGCTAAATGTTAACATCTGTCAATTACAAATGTTTATATCAAGACACTATCTCTAGATTTAACTCAACTAAGAACCCTAAAGATGTGTTTAAAGTCAGAGTTACAAGGCAGCAAGGCATCTGTCAGATTATGCTTGATTACATTTTACCAGTAGCAGGATGATCATTATGATTTCGATCCTGATCTGACCTGTAATATCTAGTTTTATAGATGACTTGCAAATGTTTACATTCCCGTTTTCAAAAAAAGGTAGGCACATTTGTGAAATATTTGTTTTTTCTGCTTGTAGGCAGAAAAAAAAAATATTTAGAAAATTTTTCAGTAAAAAAATTGTGATTTTTGAATGTTCAGTTAGAAATTTTATTCACTGTTTATTTTGTAATAAAGCAAATGGGTTAGCCTAATCCATTTGATTTCATTACTTCGATTTCTAGTTTGATCTAAAAAAGGAAAGAGAAAAGTATTCAATGAAGCTTTATTTAAAAAACGACAATCGTTTGACTATCAATACGATCATCTGCGATATAGATCTTGATAACTATACTGAGGAAATTATGACACCAAAGTGAATAAGTCTACTATTTCTAAATATTGTCAATACAATATTTATAAAACAGATTTTTAAATTTTTTACTTTTAATTAATGCAGCACAAAATTTAATTGAATTATTGAACTTGAAAAAAATAAGCTTTCTTGAACAAATTAAATATATTTTATACCAAAATCTAACATCAGACAAACAAAATAATTTTTTTTAGTCTTATCTTAAAGAATGTTAATCTTCAAAAGAGTTAAAACTTGATTCACTTGCAATTGTTGTTGGAGGACTAACTTAATATTGTGATTATAAAGCTAAAATGAAGTCCATCAATAGTGTAATATCTTAAAAACAATAATACCAATGTTCTGCAAGACTTGTTAATCTGATTTTTGCCAAATTGTTGAGCAATAAAGAATCTACAAAATTTTTTTTTTGAAAAAAAGTTTTAAGACTGTATTATTGTCTGTACTGAAGTTTTTATTGCAAGAAAAATTTTTTGACTTGACAATAGCAAACTTGGTTCAGTTATAAACATATTGATACTATTATATTTATACCTGGTATGTACTAAAAAACAACAATTAGTTTATTATCTGCTGGCTGGAGCAGAGTTTTAATTTACTATTATTAATTCCTACAGAGAGGATTCAATATTAAAGATGCTGGGCAACATTCAAAGTCATAGCTTTTATGTAAGAGTATAATTATCTGGAGGCTAAGTAATGTAGACAGCTTTCTAATATTCAAATACATGTGAATAGAGGAATTTGATGTATAAAATGTTTCCCATTATTTATATGATTGTGTAGAGCACTCAAATTATAAGATAAAACCATGTTTAATGTAATAATCCATGTGTTTGTCTTAATATGGTGCAGTTAATTAATGTAAATGCATATTATCAGGGTGGCCAGCAAATTTTTATGTTTATTTTCCATGAATTTTCCCTGACTCATAAAAATTATTTGATTTTCCAATGAAATCAATCAAAATTCCTTGGCTTCTGCAAAATTTATTTAATTCTCTGAATTTTGCAGGATGTCCAGCAATCAGCTTCTATAAAGTATTTTATAAAGAAGAATTTTTACAGAATAAAAATTTAAATATATTTAAAGGAGGGTAATAGTAATAATTTATCTTTTTTTTAAGTTACCTAAATTTTTTATACTGGTAATAATTTTTGTAACATTTTCTGTTGATTTGTCACTACTTATGGTTACAATTAGCAAAATCACAATATAAAATATTTCACTTATAATGTTATTTATTAATTTTCAAAAGAATTTCAAAAAGTCAAATTTGAAAAGCTTATAAGAATTTTGTTATTTATATTTTATGAGATCAATATGAATTTCTTGAAATTTAACACAAAGAAGTGTGAAAAACACTTGTTTGTGTGTTTTTATATAATAAGCTTATGAGTTTATTTTTACTGTCTACTGCGCACATGTTGTTTACAAAAAGATGCGATGTTGCACAGAAAGAAATCTATATTATAAAAAAAATATAGATGACCAAAAATTGATTCATCACTAATATATATGTATATATATGTATATATATATATATATATATATATATATTATATATATATATATATATATATATATATATATATATATATATATATATATATATATATATATATATATATATATATATATATATATATATATGTATGTGTATATTTATATATATGTATTTTATATATATATATATGCACACACATATATGTGAGTATGTATACATATGTATATATGTGTGTATTTGTGGATATATATATAAATATATGCACACATATTTATGTATATGATTGTATATATATGTGTGTGTATATACATTGTATAGGAAAGCACTTGAAGAAGAGTTGTATTTAGTTGCAGGTTGCTCAACGTGTATTTTAGTATTCAATGCAAGCTCTATGACAAAGTTGGCTTCGATCAGTTTTGAAGGTTTTTTGAACTGTTTTATTTTATTGTAACTACTAATGTTTGTATTTTAATAGTTATTTATTGATAAAATTAGTTTGATCTATAATAACTAAATTGAAAATGGGTGTTATAATCATTACTGTGCAATCAAGATTTTAACTTGTTAATTTTTTATTATCTAACTTTGTTATATATCAAAGTATGTTGAACTTGAAATTTTACATTTATTAAAAAATATGATTTTGTCAATTGTTTTCTTGTGTTTTTTTTATAAATTAAATGAATACCTCAATTGTTTTAGTAATATGCATATATTAATATATACATATTATAAGTTAGGTTACATTACATGCTAAATGTTTGTTACCTTAACAAGGGGTAACATTTTTGTAACAATATATTATTTTTACATAACAAACCATAAAATTTTAACCTAATAGTTGTTTAACGTTTGGTTTCTTTAAATTTTTCAAATTGATTCTTTTTTTTATGTATATTGGTGACAAAGTAACCAATAAATACACTTGGATACCATTTTACTTTTTTTTATGTGTATATATTGGTGACAAAGTAAGCAATATATACACTTGGATACCACTTGGATACACTTGGATACCATTTTACTTTTTTTGTTTAACAGATTTTGATTTTTGGAGAATAGAATTTCATATTTTTCATTTATTCCTAGTTTGCAGGACTTTTGGGTTAGATTGTAAGCATTGCACTGTTTAATTATTTTCTATTTAACAACTGGATTTAAATTTGCATCTTTTAATTTCCAAAGTTCTTTTGATAGTTCAGTGTCATTTTTGTATTTTAAAATCTTAAATGATTTTATATGGTTGGCATATCTAGTTTTGAATGGTGTTTTGCTTATACCAATGTTGAATTTGTAGGCAGGAGTGTTATTAGGATTATTGAAACTTATATTAGCTTGTTACAATGTTTTTATTGAGCATTGGTTTGATAAAGGGCAGGTATTTTTATTAAGGCAGTTACAGTTGGTTTTAGGTGGAATTTTTCTGTTGTTGCATTTAAAATAGATTTCATATTTGGCATACAACTAAAACTTATTTTTATCATGTTTCTGTTGAAAATTTTGTGAAGTTTGTGAATTAATGGGTGTTTGTTGACTAACAAATTTCTTCTCTCCCTATTTGACACGGGTGATTAAGCAATTTTCTAATTAAAAATTGTTTTGTTTTGATGT